AAAACATAAGAAATAATTTTATTGAAATTTAGCCAGAAAAGTTAAATCCTTTCACTTAAAAATATATAATAATCTTTACTCGTTAACTAGAGGGAGGAAAATAGTTTTTAAATAATATATAAAAACATGACGACAAAAATGATAATATATAGAAGCTTACTTAATTTGTTCAACTATAAAAATGCTTCTTCAAAACATAATGTCTATTAATCGAACAAACAAATATATATGAGAAAATACCTCCAGTTCTTTATGAAAAATACCTCCATGAAAAGTCTTCTGCAGTAAAACATTCATAATCTTCTTGCTGCATGGTTAAATAAGACATCAGAAGTTGTAAGAATTTATATCAAAAGTGATATAGTTTTGTATTTTATTATTTAATTGTTTTCTACAATAATAATTCAATATTTTACCCTTAAAACTATCTGAAACTTATGTTCTACAAAAATTAACATGCCAAACTATTTGAGAGATTTTTTCATCTCAAAGTATAAAATCATCACTACAAATTAACCGGGGAAAAAATTGGGTAAAAGAATCGTATAGTGCAGAGAAAATGATATTGTGCACAAAAATATTTAATTTCCTTTAACTCTGTAAATTATATATTTAAGATACAATGATCATTGATTAAACATAGATATTACAAAAAAAAACTATCTCAAATTCTGAACTGGGGAAAACGTTTTGGTGTAGAAACAATGTAGCTTGAATTATTTGTGAATTCGTTTACCTCAAACTGTACTATTGTCTTCATAACTAACGAGTGGGGAAAAAATGGGTGGAACGAACAATAGATTATGAAGAGAAAAATAATTGTGTACAATTTTTTTGTCCTCTCAATTCTATAAGTATAATTTTAGATATAGCATGATTTGACCGAATATAAGTATACAAAAAAATTACTTGAGGTCTCGAACTCGAAAGAACATAATAGTTGGACGCTCTTTCATTTGAAGTAATATCATAGTAATTATTTTGCTACATAATAAAATAAACACCAAAGTTGTCAGTATATTTCATGAAAATTATTTTCGCACTATCTATTCACAAGTTAGGATTTAATTTTGATATTCAATTTTGAATTATTTAATTCAAACACATATATAACCACTCATCTAATAAAAGGAGTTCATTCTGAAACTATAAAAAGTTAATGAAGAAAGGAAATGAAATTAATCAATCATACAATTTAGAAACTTTATCACCTCAAAATACACAATCATCTTAACTAATTAACCAGAGGAGTGAAATTGATAAATAGAACAAAGAAAAATGACAGTATATATATATAGATTATTAATTCTAGAACTTCATCATAAATATATTTTCAAATATAAATATGCTATTATCAAACATTGGCATAAGTGAAACTAGCTCAACTTCTGAATTTGAGGAATTCTATTGAAGATAGAAGGACCCCTCCTCTATAGTAATACCTATATATTTTCTTGCTACACATTGATTGCATAAAAAAATGTAAGCATATTTACTACTTGTAATTTTTACTGTATGTGTTCATAAATTATGGTGTTGTTTTTAGTTTTATTATCGTATCATCTTATACATTACAATAATTATCTTTCATACAACAAAAGTCGATCATATGTGTTCTACTAAAATTTAACAAATAATTAAATTAAAAAATAACTAATTAATTTTTTTGAGACCTTTTCCCCTCAAAACATAATAGTGTGCAAGATCTTTGTCTATTCTCTCAACTCTATAAGTATATTTTTAGAGTAATTATTCTATGATCAAACATAGTCAGATCAAAAATTGTTTGAGGTTTATATTCCATACAAATATTGAATTTTTTCGTCTTCAGTAATATCACATTAAGTTTTTTTGGTACATTTAAAAATAAGTCACCAGAGATTACAAATAATATTATTGATTCAGTTTTATAATTATATTTTTAGAATTAAATCGTCTCTCTCTTTCTCTTTATTTATATATATATATATATATATATATATATATATATATATAT